TTTGTAAAACAGTTCACACCATGAGTCTTCCGGCTCTCCCAGGTCCCAAGACAGGTGTCAGAAACTGGAGAGGCTTTGGTAGCTGTAGATGTTGGAAGATTGGAAAGGCTACTCCAGATTGTTAAAAGAATCATCCTTATATTTCTGTTGCTCCAGAACCAAGACTGTTATAAAAAATCTGTATAACTCGGGGTTCTCTAGAGTAACAGACATGATTTAATGAATATCTATCTATCTATCTATCTATCTATCTATCTATCTATGATATTTTAGAATGACTTATATGCTGTGATCTAGCTAATCCAACAATGGCTGGCTGTGAACAGAAAGTCCAAGAATCCAGTAGTTGTTCAGTCCCTGAGGCTGGATGTCTCAGCTGGTCTGCAGTATGTGCTGGAATCCTGAAGATGTCGGCTCTAATTACAGTGAAGCAACGGACCTGGTAGCAAGAGCAAGAGCAGCAGGCTTGGACAGCAAGCTTCCTTCTTCTATGTCCTTCCTTGTACAGGCTGCCAGCAGAAGGCATTGCTCAGATTTTTGTTGGTTTCTCCAGCCTCAAGATCTGGATTAAGGAGGACCGCCTGGAGGAGGGGAATGCGGGGGAGGGGCCCCGCAGCACTGTAGGGTGCAGCTCGGCACCCTGGGGGAGGCGGGTGGAATGACTGATAGGAGTGGGCGACTTAGAAGGGAGCTTGCCCACTGGGCAGTCACCGAGGTCCTGCAGGTGCCAGAGAAGGAACCGAAGTGTGTGGCTTCCTCCCCGCCAGCAGACACCCAGTAAGTCACTGGCTGCGCCGCTGTGGAGGGAGAGCGCAGCCCCTGTCCAAGAAGGAGCCCAGGATGTGGGACCCAGAGATGAGAGTGAGGAGGAAGAGGAAGATGACGAGGAGGAAGAATAAGAGAAGACTCTCATGGTGGAAGGCAAGAGAGAAAAGAAGAAAGTAGAAAGATTAACAATGCAAGTGTCTTCCTTACAAAGAGAGCCATTTACAATTGCACAAGGGAAGGGCCAGAAACTTTGTGAAACTGAAAGGATAAGTTTCTTTCTGAGTAAGAAAAAAACAGATGATCTTAGAAATCTGCAAAACCTGCTTTACAACAGACCAGGCACAGTGTCCTCATTAAAGAGTGTGGGTCAGTTCAGTGGCTTTCCATTTGAAAAGGGCGGTACCCAGTACAAAAAGAAGGAATAAATGCTAAAAAACTTAGAAATGCCATGTAAAGAGCATCTGAGGTTCTTGATTTAGAGTGATCAGGTGTGAACAGCAAACTAGTGAAGAGGATCTTGAATTTCTTAGGCATCCAAAGTCTTCTGGCAAATCATTGCCAAAATTCAAAATATCTTCAAGAAAAAGTAGTAAAAAGGAACGGAACAGTTCTGGAACAACAAGGAAGCCAAAGCAAAACAAATGTCCTGAAATTTTGTCAGATGAATCTAGTACTGATGAAGATGAGAAGAAAAATAAGGAAGAGTCTTCAGAAGATTAAGAGAAAGAAAGTGAACAACCACCAAAAAAGACATCTAAAAAAGAAAAAGCAAAACAGAAAGCTGCTGCTAAAAGTAAAAAATCTGTAAAAAGTGCTAATGTTAAGAAGGCGGGCCTTTAATCCCAGCACTTGGGAGGCAGAGGCAGGCAGATCTCCGTGAGTTTGAGGCCTGCCTGGACTACAGAGCTAGTTCCAGGACAGCCTCCAAAAGCCACAGAGAAACTCTGTCTCAGAAAAAAAACAAACAAACAGAAGAAGAAGAAGAAGAAGAAGAAGAAGAAGAAGAAGAAGAAGAAGAAGAAGAAGAAGAAGAAGAAGAAGAAAGCAGATAGTAGCAACACCAAGAAGAATCAAAACAAAGAGTCTGAATCTGAAGATAGTTCTGATGATGAACCATTAATTAAAAATTGAAAAAACCACCTACAGATGAAGAGTTAAAGGATACAGTGAAGAAATGACTAGCTAATGCTAACTTGTAAGAAGTCACAATGAAGCAGATTTGCAAAGAGGTATATGAAAATTATCCTGCTTATGATTTAACTGAGCGGAAAGGTTTCATTAAAACAACTGTAAAAGAGCTAATCTCTAAAGCTAGAAGACAGATGGCTTGTTCTCAGATTTGAAGATCTGATTTATACCAACAAAGAGAATGTATTTTCTTTTTTTAAGTCTATTGTTAGTAGAACTCACTGCTGACCCTTTTGGGTGTTACATATATTATTTGAGCTTTCTGTTTTAAATCACATTTCCTTGCAGTTTTCAGTCTTGCATGGCAGTACTTGTTCCTTGCTTTCTAAAGTTGTACATTTTGGATTTCTTTATTGTAAGGTCAGATT